TGCTACTTTAGGAATTTTGTCTAGATTTGCAATGTCTACAAATTGATTTCCTAATAAATGCAAAGTTTCTGCTGTTTTAGAACATTCAATGCTTTTAGCAGCCCGCAATTCATTTGTTCTCACAATCTCATTATGCAACAAAGACGAATCAGCTTGACAATTTAAATTCCTACACTCCTTCAACAATAACTTATACAGTTTTAACACAACTCCTAACATAATATGCAAAACAGGTGGCACTACATTATCTAAAGTTATTATGGCGAAAATTACAGGAGCAATAATTGATTTGTGAAACTTACCTAGAGCTCTTAAGTTTCCACCTTGTCTATCTTCACACAAGTTCTCAATAAGATTCTTAAGATGTTACAATTAGTAGGTGTGTTAGGCATAGAAGCATGGTTTCTAAGAGAATTCAATTCAACTAGATCTGTACAAATAGGAAAGCTAGCAGCTAAACCCTAGTGTCCCATAACATCATCGATGAAATGAAAATCTCCACCTAAGAACAACCTGACTATTTTGCCTTTTTTAGCTTAAAATCTGACAACTGAATTCTTTTAATGTCATTGGTATAATGCCTGAGAAGGCAATATTCTTGCGACAGTCTGAACCCTGATACATACAAAACAAATGAACATCATATATAGACCCTGATGATTTAGAATTGACAACTTCAAAATGGAATTTCATATATTTTCCACCCTTATTCCCAGCAAAAAAGAGCCATAACTCTTTGCCAAAACCAACATCCGAATTAAGGAGGTCGCGTACATGAAGATTATTAAAAACCTCTTCAATATAAGTTGTCCAATTCATGACCATCAGTACAGATACTAAACAAGGTGCTTCATTCGCAGATGGATAAAATAACATGTGCTTCACAGTAACATGTTCTTTATTGACATGCATTGTTTGCATTTCTTGTTTTTATCTTATCTTGGGCTCAGATGGAAGAATCCTTGCACCAAGATTACACAGAAAAGGTCTTAGCCTACGGAATTAATTTGACTCTGCAGCTCTACAGCATCAGAAACACTTAACTGCCTACTAAACCTAACTTATTTGCAACACAACAAAACATAGACTTATCACAAAACACAGAATCACAAAACAACATAGACAAATCACTTTCTAAATCTAATAGTCGAAAGAATATTAAAGCAAGTTTAGATGGTCTAGCTGCAGCATGCCTACCTAACTTAGAATAAGGCTTACCATATCCTAGTTTAATGTAAATATATTTTTTACCAACTATTGGCCTTTTAACTGATATAGTCTGTGGATTACTTAATTTAAATCCACAGAAAAATTCAGAGGAACCAAAGTTGTCATAGTCTAAATAAGAATCAACAACAACTAAATCCATGGCAATATAAAGCTCAAACAATGCTTTTGACTTAAAAACTGACATTAAAATTGAAATTACATTGTTAGTCATTTTATCGATGCTAATTAATCGCTTAACAAATGGAAAGTTACACTCATTTTCCCAACTATCGTCCCATTCAATCCATTCTATTAATATTTTCCTTTCAGTAGAATACATAATGATAAATAAATCTCGTAATAATAATATAACACAAACAATTCAAATAAAATAATATTTATTGACAAATAGATGAACAAGATATGATTAAAAAACTTATCTGATGTTAGTTGATTACTCACGAGAAAGAAAAACTGCCAAACTTTGTTTTATTTATACTTCAAAATTTGTCTTGCTAAGACAATTGTTTTCATAAAATTTGTTACATATTGGGTTGGGACGTACATTATTTAAGGTCACCTGATTGTTTAAAAATGTAAACAATATTTTGCAAAAAAAACAAGAAAAATTTGTTTCTAAACTAGCCAAGTTTGAAAACATGTCATAACATAGCTGGAGGTACAGAAAACAATTTTTTGATTTTCATATGCAGAAATTTCGATAAAAAAAAAAAGGGTTGAAATTTCGATAACTTAGGGCGGATTACAAAAATAATATGATTTTCATTATTTAATAATAAAAATAAAGATATAAATGCATTAAAAAATAATAATAATAAAAAAAAATAAGCAAGCCGCACCAAATATTAGATAGAATAGACATTTATTTATATATGTTCCGAGTTTCAACTATTAACATGTAGCTATGTTAGAAAATTTTAGTTGATCCAAGACAGGTTTTCCGTAAAAATCACAAAAACAGAAAAGTGATCCCAAATCATTAGCAATATTTACACAAATTTAATGGAAATATTTATTAAATAACAAAAGATAGATCTTTTATGTTTTTTTTATTTGAAGATGAAAGCATTTATAGAAAAAAAAAATTTATTTTAAAGTTAGTGAATTTTTATATTTTTTATGCGGAAATACTTTTTTTTTGATAAACTCATGACATCACACTCACATTTAAATAGAGTGAAACAGCCGTGCACAGCGTAAAAATTGCTAAAAGGTCTTCTTGACTATTTAGGGGTCTGGGGCTATAGCACCCTCTAACCTCAACCCTCCTAAATCCAGCACTGGAAATAAGATGTGAGTATATAAATAAAAATTATAGTATACTTTTTAATAAGTAAAAGAACATTTTTTTCCTTATTAGGCAATCATAAGATGTTACTTTATATAAAAAATGTCGCCTAATTTTTTAAAAAAATTATAAAAGAGTGAATTCGAAAATATTTGTTCTAAACGTAATTTATTTTGCATTAAGTTTTTCGCGTTAAAAGTTATTTTCTTTTCCTAGTTTATTATTATTTTTTTTTGTAATTGTCTCTTATGTCATCAATTAATATTTGTTGCACTTTTTATTGTTTCATGAAATGTTCTCAAAACGACTAAAAAATCTGGCCAGTTTTTCGCAACTAAATAATATTTCAGTGGTCAGCAATTGAGAGCGATTGCTCCCGCTTCCCAACCAAGGCTGTTCAAAAGTGTGTCTAAATCTTTGAATTAAAACTTCAACATCTGTGTTCACAATATCTTTTAGTTTTATTCTTCCAATCATTCTACAATAATATGTTTTGTCGCAGTCTTCATTTAAAACTTTCCCCACACAACATTTCTCTGTCATTTTTTACTATTTTTTTATTTTTATTACTAATCTAAAAACTTTAAAAAAGACAAACATATTAAATCTCAAAGAAACTAACAAGTATCAGACACTGCTTATTACACTGATTATGTCATTATTATTAGTACAAATTAAGACAATATGTCATTAAAAAGAAAACTGAATACATTCATTCAAGGATAAATAATAAATATACTACTGTCATCCCTATGACTAATTTTTAGACTATGACCTAAGGCTAGCTCATAGTCTAATAACATTCTCCTTTTGAAAATATCATCACTCTCAAAAGGCTACAAACATGTCATAAGATAGAGTAAGGTCTTTAAATTTTTTTTTGATTGTCTATACAACATTAAAAAGTTTCACAATTTATTTAAACTGTTGAAGATTTTCCAAAAGTCTCTTGAGCCTTCTTCTAAGATAAAATACAAGATTTAGTAAACTGAGAATAATGAAGCTTAATATCAGACTGCACCTTTTTACATTGCTTTCTTGTAATAGTAAAAAGATTTTTTTTTCTCAAGAGAGTTTTTATAAAAAGGAAGGAAAAATTGATTTTGATTAAATATAAAAGCAACACAAGAAAAAGAAAACCATGGAGTAGCATAGTAGGAATGAAAGCTTCCATACCTGCCTCACTCCAAGTAGGTACTTAGGTAGTGTAATTATTAGCTGCAAGATAAAAAGCCTCACTACACGAACAAAATCACAAAATTAAGCTCAGTCAGCTTTAGGTTTATAATATAAATAGTACAATGATAGCCTGAAGAAAAGTTATGAGATAAATGATTTATAGAGATCACTTCATGATCAGAACCACCTATAAAACAACCTATAGAAATACTTGAAATTAAGGTGAACATATGATTTATAGCTGTAGTCTTTAGTTGGTAACTGAGCTAACACTTCACCAGAGATTCAAACAGAAACACAAACACTTTTATAGTAACTTTTTTTTTTTTTTTTTATTATTCGCATTCACTCCCAACAAGGCTGCAAGCAATCACTATTAGGTTGAGAGTTACTAAGAAGAAAAAGAATAGAGTTATAGAGCAAGGAAACGGTTGACAGAAGACTTGAAAAGTTGAAGGTTGTATGAGTCAGGAAAATATGAAGATGGAAGAAAGTTCCAAAGGATTGAAGTGCGGGGAAAAAAAACTAGACAAATAAAATTTATAAAACATGCAGGGACAGATACAATAATTACGTGCAATAGTTATGCAATATTTTATAAAATAATATTAACTTTTTTTTATTTTAAAGATATTTAGATGTTAGAGCAACATTTTGCTATTCAAATTAATTTGAACAAAAAAAAAGTGCAATAGTATATATATATATATATATATATATATATATATATATATATATATATATATATATATATATATATATATATATATATATATATATATATATATAGACACGCACACACACACACCTACAAACAAATAACCCATAAAAGGTGGATGTATATTTATATATACATATAAGTTTATATATTGTATATTGCATAATAATAAAGATATAAAAAATGTTAAAAACCAAGAAAATCTTATGTATTTATTAACCTTTTTATTTTTTAAAGTTGGTCAAAAATTTATTAAAGTTGCTTATTAATGATTTGACTGTAGCTGCTGTATAGGGAGATCAATATAGTAAAAAGTATTGTTTTGATATTTTTTACTTTATTCATGTGTTGCAAAAAACATATCAGATGATTAACTACATAACTACAAATATTAACAAAATGAATTAAATATTTTTACAGTTAATTGAATCAACCTTTAATTGTTTGATAAAGTATTTGAAGTTTGTTGAATCTTCAACTTTGATAGTAATGATAATAAATATAATCTTAAATAGAGTAAGAATTTTGTAAGCAATAACTTAAGTAAGAATTTCGAAGTAAAAACTTTATATAACTATTATTTAGATTCTTCAAATCTACCTGATATTGCAAGCAAAGTTTTTGTCAAGAAAGGTATTTATAGTATAAGGATAATGATGATGATGATGATTGTGATGATGATGATGACGATGATGATGATGATGATGATGATGATTATGATGATAATGATGATGATTAATGATGATGATGATGATGATGATGATGATGATGATGATGATGATGATGATGATGATGATGATGATGATGATGATGATGATGATGATGATGATGATGATGATGATGATAAATGGTGATAATGATGATGGTTTATATTTAGATATATCAAAGATTTGCATGGAACTAAAATGTTATTATCTTTATTATGTTATTAAAAGTTATTATCTTAAATTAGGGAAAAATAAATGAACTTCAACCACTGTTGAAATTTACTATTAGAAAAATAATAGGACAATGCTGTTTAATTTTAGCTAGTTTTTAGTAAGACATTAGTTAGAAGTGATTTAGAAGTTATGAAGTGATAAATCATCATCATAAACATTTTTATGAGCAAAATCATGATGATGACTTAAATAGAGTTTGTTTTTTTTTAATTTAGATTTGTCAAAGGTGTCTGCTGAACTTAAAAAGTTTTATCTTAAATATTATGGGAAAATTAGTGAACTTCAACCGCTATTGAAAAAACCTGCAAATGTTGATCTAATGCATAAATTTGTTGATCTATGTATTGTTGATGCAGTGAATGCTCAAATGGATGCTGCTTTTAGTGTTGAGCGAAAGGAATTTCTTAAAAAGCAAACAAGTTATACACCAATTCCATATAGTGAAATATTTATGAAAGAAAAATCTGTGATATTAATATCTGGAATAGCTGGTATTGGTAAAACATGGTTGCTTAGGAAAATTTTGCTTGATTGGTCAAATAACTCAATTTGGAAAAATGTTGAACTTGTCTTTTATTTTGAATGTAGGAGGCTTAATCAATATCCAACTATTTGTAATATTAATGAATTACTAAATGTTTTCTACAAAGACATTATAAATGATTTTAATATTAGTAATAATACTGCAGTGTTTATGATTGATGGATTAGATGAGTTTAAATATTTCAATGAATTATTAAATCCAACTTTGACATTAAACTATCCAATTGTTAATACTTTAGCAGAAATTCAAAAATACAAACATTTAGTTGCTGGTAGAGTTTATGCAATCGATCAATACCAAAGTATATATACAGAGCATAGTGATGAGCTAACTATTCAAATAATGGGATTTAACAAAATCGGAATCGATAATTATGTAGAAAATCATGTTATGGAAGAAAAAAAAGAAGTTGTAAAAGCAACATTAAAAGAATCTCCAATTGCAAAAGCCATGGCATCTGTTCCATTTTATTTGTCTTCCATGTGTAAAATTATGAGTTATTTAGATAAAACAAATACAAATTCATTCATAACAATGACAGATTTGTATGCAAATATTTTTTTATCTTTTTTGCGAAAACACATCATCAAAAATAATAAGTTAGTATATGAGATAATGGAAAACGAATCCAATAAAAAATATATTTTAAATATTTGTAAAATTGCATATGAATTGTTTATTGAAAATAAAGTAATTTTTTCCAAAGAAGAAATTCAAACTTTTATCAGCGACTTTGATAAAAATGAAGACAATTTTTTTGGATTTATAGAACGGTTTGAAACAGATCTGGGTTGTTATTATCAGTTCGCACACTTGACACTAATGGAGTTTTGTGCATCTGTATATGCATATAATTGTTTAAGTTGTGAAGAAATTATGGCCAATGAAGAACTGGAAAGTTGTTTATCAATGATCTGTGGATTAACCAATAAAAGCCAAAATAGTTTAATAAAGTTTCTTGTTAAGCTGAATCCTTTAAAAAAATCTAATGAGGAATCTTTACTTTTGTTTTCTATTTTAGGTAAGTTTCAAAACTTTGTTATGTCATAAGTCATTTTAGATAATCATACAGGTGTTCAATAACATAAAAACTGTATATGTTTTTACTTTATTTTTAGTTGAATAACGTGTTTCCGTTTGTATTAGATTTTTTATGGTATTTTTGTTAATTTTAGATTTTCTAATTTTATTACTTTATCGTTTAACTTTTTTTTAAAAAAAAACAATCATTTAAAATTTTTTTGTTTTCTAAATGAATTACTACATTTTTTTATAGTTAGTTAATTAAGTTACACAAAGCCACGGCCTTGTGAAGCTCATCATCAGCTGAGTAAACTCGTCATCAGCTTTCATCATCTCATGATGAAATCTGATCTGAAGTTAATTTCATCATGAAATCTGTTGTTAATTACATCATTTTGCATAGAGTTTTGTAGTTTTATTTTGAAAGCCTGAAGAACTTTTGCCGTGTTGTGTTTTATCTTTTCAATTTTTTTTATGTCACTATTAAGGTAAGGATTCCAAGCTTGTATGGCACAACTCCAGATGTGGTTTGATATATGCAATATAATTTTTTTTCCAAATGTCAGTCTCTTGATACAAACATGTGTTTAAGAATTCTGAGCATTTTATTTTCTTTGTTTGCAGCTAAATTGCACTGTTAAGCATATTTAATATTTTCAGATATTAGAATTCCAATTCTTTTTCAGAGTTTGTGACTTCTAAAACTACTCTGTTGGTTGTGCAGTCATTTTTGATTTCATCCATAAAATAATCCAATTTAATTGTTCGAGAGTTAATATGCATGACTTAACATTTCTTTACGTTTAACTCCATTAGCCAGGTTTGTATCCATTTAGCAATCTTGTCTAGATCGGATTGTAAACTTGCTTGGTCTTAATCGTTTTCAACAACTTACATGAGCTTTGTGTCATCTGTCTTCATTTTGCAAATGGCTGATTTGACAAGAATTGGCCATTTTTGCCATATTGTCATTAACAAATATGGCAAAGAGCATTGGCCCTAAAACAGAACCTTGCTGAACATTTATATTTGATATGTTTAACAATGTTTGGCAAGTTTTTTAAAAAAGTACAAATTAATATTTTTTATTAAGTTGTAGTTAATTAAATTGTAAAAGCATACAAAAATATGACAATTTTTTTAAGTGACAATAACTTACCAACATTTAACATAATGAATAGTGAACTCATTAAAATTTAAAATTAAAAAGTCATAAAAGCAGTAATGAAAAATGTGGAAAAATCATGTTAATAATCTAAACAATAAAATTGCTAGAAGTATTGTAATGTTATACAAATTAAGAAATCTTTCAAATAAAAATACTTTGATTCAATTATATTACTCATTTATTCATTGCCATATTAATTATGCTAATACTGCATGGAGTACTGTAGATAAAAGTATATAAAAACCTCTTTATCATCAACAGAAGCATATTCAACAGTTTCACATGGTAATGTTTTTAAATATTCAAACAATTTAAGAAATGAAGATTCAAATAATTTAGAACTATTTTGGAAATGGGTCCTATTGTTAAAAAAATTGAAAGTATAGAATGCAGTTGGAACCAGCGACAGATTTAACTGAGACAAAGCGGCTTAACTAAAAAAGAACAACAAGCTTTACATCAGGTGTCCAAGAGAAATTATATTTTAACTTGTTTAAAACTACAAGGCAGCCCATTTACTTGTGGATCAGATGTCGGTGAGTATATTGAAAAAGAGCAAGATCTGATAAAATGCCAAAAACAATTGAAGAATGAAGTCATTTATTTTAGAGATACAAGTAGGTCATTGCCGCAGAAATCAACTAAAATCATGATTTTTGATAAAAATACAAAAAAGCATCGTCTTATGTTTATAGAAGAATATGCTACTAACTTGAAGATTCTACTTAGAAAGTCATCACAGCAGTCCACAATCACCTATGATGACTTCCACAAAGTTATTTCGCACTTCCAATAGAAGTCGAAACAAATAATTAATATAAGACTATCTTGATGATGTACAATGTCTAATTTTTTGTGTTGTTTATAACTAGGCATAGTGGTTACATATTTTATTAATAAAATGAAAAAAAAAATTTACCATGTGTTTTACATCGCTTATATTTGAAAATAATAATGATTTCATTTAATTTAACAGTAAATTGTTTTGTCAAAATAATGACTTTTATTAAAATTGAAGTAGAAGGCTAAATATTGACAATGAAGTAAAAATTTTGTGAAATTCAGAATCATCATAAAATATTAATGAAGAAAAAGTGGTTAAACTTCAAAAAATCTAAAAAAAAAAGTTAATTTTGGACACCCCCTTGCCTCCCCCTCAAATAAGGTGTTTCTGTTACTTGATTTTTTATGGCAAACAAGTATTTTCGTAAGTTTTTTTCGAATTTTGCAACTTTATCATTTAAGTTTAATTTTAAAAAAACAATTGTTTTATATTTTTTGTTTTATGAATGATTTACAACATTATTTTATAGTTACTTAGTTACTTAAGTTACATAAAGCCACAACCTTTTTAAACTAATTAACAGCTGAGTAAACTCATCATCAGTTTTCATCATTTCAAGATGAAATCTGATCTGTAGTTAATTTCATCATGAAGTCTGTAGTTAATTCCATCATGAAGTCTGTAGTTAATTTCATCATTTTGCTTCAAGTTTTTTATTCTTTATTTTTTAAAGTCTGAAGAACTTTTGTGGTGTTGTATTGTACCTTTTTTATTTTTTTTTATGTCACTATTAAGGTAAGGGCTTCAAGCTTGTATGGCTAACTCCAGATGTGGTTTAATATATGCAGTATAAATTTTTTTTCCAAATATTAATTTCTCTTGATACAAATGTGTGTTTAAGAATTCCAAGCATGTTATTTTCTTTGTTTGCAGCTATATTGCACTGTTAAGCATATTTAAGATTTTCAGAGATTAGAATTCCACAATCTTTTTCTGAATTTGTGACTCCTAAAACTACTCTCTTAATTGTGCCGTTATTTTTTATTTCATCCATAAAGTAATTTTGCTCTTAATAAAGTAAATAATTGCTCTTAGTGAGACAAAGTTAAATTCTGCAATTCCTTCTTCTGATCTCAGTTTTGATGGTTACTATTCGCAAAGATTCCAATAGTCACATGCTTGGCTTGAGGGTATACATACGCATAAATTCCCCTATTTGTTGTGTAATCAGATTTAAATCCTCTAACCATTCTTTTATGTGCTTCTGCTTAGCACCTTTTCACTCTATCATCTTTCTATTTGTTCTCTATGGTTCTTTTTCTTCTCATCACTGCACTCTTTTAGATGTTATTTCTGATAAAATTGACCATGACCTCTCTCATTACCCCCCTGCCAATACTGTTGTTATTGGTGACTTTAATGCTCATCACACTGAATGGCTTGGCTTTTTTTAATATGTGTATGTATTTTGTTGATAAAATATTGCAAATATTTCCATGGCTGGAGCAAAAAAAAGACAATAGAAGTCTTTTACCGTAGTTGTACTTTTGCAATACTAATGTTATTTTATAAGATATAATTTTTCTAACACCTTTAACTATTGCTTGAAATATATTTTAAATTAATAAATGCAAAAAAAAAAAGGTATTTTAATAAAAACCACAAGTTTTACAAAGAAAGATTAAGTAATTATGAAAAGAATTTATTGTTGAAGTAATTAATCAATAATTATTATAATCAATATTATAATAAATATTATATAATCAATAATAGCATTAAGGGTTATTTTTACACTGCCTTAAGTTAATAATAACCAGAACAGAAAAAAGCAAACCAGGCAGCTTTTTTGCATAAATGTAATTAAAAAATAAATAAAAATAAAATTAAATATTTACATATACACATACACATACATTCACACACATACATACATAGGCACATACATATACACTTACATACACACATACATATATACATTATACATATATATACACATAAATATATATATTAGGGTTTGGACTATTTAATTGTAATGAAAACAATAACAGTTACAAAAACTATTGTTATTGAATTAATTTTATTTAGAAACAATAATAATATTTATGATTTACAATTATTGTAATATTGTAATGCAATTTCGTCTATGTAATGCAATAACAATATCGGAAAAAAAATGTATTGTAATGACCCACTACAATAACAATAAGTATTGTATTATAACTCATTTTTATAATACAATAACAATTTATTGTTATTGTAAGGGAAAAAATTATTGTAATGTCAAAATAAATGAGTTTTATTAATAGTTCAGTCTCCGAGTCATGTGACCTTAAAATAGGATACAACTAATATATAATTATTGATAATATTTCTATTTTATTTAGTGAATATCACTTGTCCTAGTTGCAAACTTTAAATAGCTATAGAAGTAAGTTTGATCTGACCTTTTCCTCTTTTACTAATGGGGATAGACATGTATACATGATAAATTACTACCAGTTATTTGTTTTTCCATTAGGTTGTGAAGTTATACAAAAATTTTGTTATATAAATCAAGAATCATCATCCATTAAAATATTTTAATATCAGTATAAACAAAATTTTTAAAAAATCTAAAATTTTACTTCACATAGTAAATAAATTTCTAATTACAAACATATAATAACTTATATATTTGTATGATTTTGTATCAATATTAATAATGTTAATTCTAAATAAATTTTTTTTTAAACAGTTATATTATTGAATTCAAAATAAATAAATTTATTATATGTTAATGGTTGATAGAAAAAGGTGAATATATTATTCAGAGGTGCTCGTGGCACCTTTTTCCACATATATTTAATAAAAATCTTTATTGAATATACATAAAATATATACTTCTTTGGCTTTCCTGGCTTCACTTCGCTTCTCAAAATAAATAAAATTTATATTTATAAATGACAGCTAAAAATGAGGGTCATAAGCGCAATAGCAATTGGGCTTTGAAATAGTAATACAATACACCATAGTTATTGTAATTATTTTTCGTCAAAACAATACAATA